GAGATAGAAATCGGCTTCCTAACACAATTCAGCTTCCTAAAGCAGATGAAATTTAGAGAAGCAAAAATGATCATTGTGCTAATTTGTAGAGTAGTTGCTTGGAGGCGATGGGGGAGAAATGAGAATCTCTCACTTTTGGCAGTGGTAAGGTGCTAAGTAGTCCTGTGTCTAATGGGAAGCTGCACCCTCAGACCTGCTGTTCAAACCAGGTGCTGTATATACTTTGATACAAGTCTTTAGGATTTTCTCAAAATCCATGGCTATCAAATTGCAGAACACGTTGCCATAGTCGTTCCATATTACATGTACATACACATTTCTAACTCAATACATCTACTCCTGAATCCTCTTAACCCATACAGAATTAGGGAAGGACTCCAAAATTTGCTAGTAGGATGAACCAGCCTGTGCATCCCAGCAGGCTGTAGTCAAAGACAGTGATTAGTAGGTCACTTGTGTGTGTGTGCTGCTGCCACAGCAAATGCAGGCTGGGCACGCTGTGCCAGCTGTGGCTCAGTAGCTCAGGGCTGGAGAAGGTTCATTGAGCTGATATTGAGGTTTCATGCACATTCACCCCTTAGCCTGTATTGAACACTCCTGCTCTGTCTGGCAGAGCTGCTGAAGCAGAAGATGCTCTGGGAAATGTTGTTCCTCAGGGCAGGCAGTATTTAGCTCTTAATTTTTAATGTGACCAGAAGCCTATGTCTCAGTTTCTCTTTTACAATCATATCCTTGTCTTAGACCTAAATTTATCCATGTTTTAAACCAGCCTCACTCACTGTTATGCACTAGATTTAATTCCCTGCTATTAAGTGAAATTACTCCTGCTGGGAATGCTGAATTGTGCCACTGAGGTTAGAGACAATGTTGCTTGCACTGGAGAAATGAATCCCAAATCACTTAAAGATTCCTGCACTATTATTTTGTGTCCTGTATCTTGTACGCACTCTGAAAGTAACACTGGAACTTTAGAGGTATTTTATCTGCTCAGCTTTCTTAATTGAATCAGCACAACAGTATTTATAGATGGTGACAGCAAGGATTAGCTCATCTTGAATTATTGCTTCGTAAGTGCTGGCAGCGCCTTTAATTCAATACACGTCAGTGATGAACACAGTGCTTGTTCTGAGTAGAGACACAGCCTCACTTTGTGATCCTGGTACCAGATCCACATGGATAGATCTTTATCTCATCCAGAATTGCAGTAAAGCTAGTAGAGATCTGGAGGGGCCAACCTGATGCCAGGCCTGGAAGACAGATAGGCAATACCCTGCAATTAATTTTGTAATATATTGGGAAAATGCAAGATTTTCTTCTAGACTGAAGCCCTCACCCTGCTTAGCTTCCCCAGTGCTCAGGTCTGGTGGGCAGGAGACCCACAGGAGGGCTGCCCCAAGGCTGGCAGTTGTGAGCATCCAGCCAGCCCTCCCCATCCCAGTTCCACACTAAATAGTCAAATCCACCACTACCAGTCTCACTTCAGCCTCTCATTCTGAAACATTCCCAGGAGATCCTTGCCAAACATCCATTTGTATGGATGTATCCATTTCGTGGCTGGAAATACCAACGTGCAGCAAAACATACCCCTAAAGCAAGAATTTCTCAAAGTGATTCTGAAGAGCCCTGACTGAACCAATAACACCTCCTGGTCACCCCCAGCTCTAGGTGACACTTTGATACTTTCTTCTCATTCCTTGTTTTTAGTCCATTAGAGTTCTCATCCACCAATTGCTCTCTTAAATGTTTTTAATTAACAAAACTTAATTTTGGCTAATACTGGATTTTCTCAATCCAAGTAAACCAGCTTAAAACAAAAAATAAGCCGAGGCTCTGGCAAACACATCCAGGTCAGCCTTTCACTGGATGAATTGTGTAACTTGGGTAAGGCTAGTCTCAAAGGCTGGATCACAGTGCATAATATATTAAAAAATATTGGGAGAATTCCAGCAGCTAGTATTAAGTGGGTAGTTGTAATTCCTGCGGGATAAAGAATGATAAAGAAACAAAATGCTTTAATCCTCTACAAATTTGTCTAACATTTAATCTAGCTACTAACCATATGATATTTCCTTTCTCGAGCAGTCTTAATTGTTCTTAATTCTACTAATTAGGGGCTATAAAGGAGAAAGTGGAAATCATCAGCAATTTAATTCATGTTTCTGAGTAAAGCCAAGCTCATACGTGATGTGCATATTCCGAGCTGTGCAGGAGTCCTCAGTGTGGGTCTGTGCTCTCAGAATATTTCACATTCACACAGCAGGCCAGAGCACAACCATCACACTATCACTGTGCACTCCTGCAGCACCTTTCAACTGATCATCTCAAACCACAAAACAGAGATGGTTTAATATTAATGAAGTCTCTAACAATCTGGAAGCAGAATTCTCTTATGAGGCATAATAAAGCAGTAACCATCTTTTCTCTCCAGAGCCTCCCCCTCCTATAGACATCCTCTCCATCTTCCCAGTATCCAGCTGTTCTTCAGTTAGTCCCCTGTGTCAGCCGAGCCCCCAGGGCTGAGGCAGAACGTTGTGGCTGCACCTGATAGGAAAGCAATGCACAGCTGGCTCTTGTCTGTGTCTTGCTTTGGCTACAGATTCCACGTTTGAACCAGAGAATCATGGATGGTTTGCAGAGGTAGCCTCATGCTTTGTGCTGTTGTTTCCAGGATGTTTCCAAAGCTCAGCACACAGTGCTGCTTACAGTGGTGCAGTGAGTGTTCACTTCTAGCCCCTTGACTACACACTGTCCTAAGTGTCTTAAGATAAATCATTCCAATTAAGTGAAACAGTGTACAGACTGCATTGATTTAACCAAACATCAGTAACTTATGATAATCTCCTCATGTGAAAAGATGGACTAGGTGCCCTTTGAATGTCCCTTCCAACCCAAACCATTGTATGATTCTGTATGGGCAAAGCTGCTGTCCTCTGTCACTGTGTCCCCATTGCACCCAGCCATCCTCATACCTGGGGGTCTTAAGCTGGGCTGGTAAAATGGAAGATGTTGCAGTGTACAGCACATCAAGTATATGAAGTTATCCCACAAGGATGCCAGGTAGCACATCAGCCTGCAAAGGGTGGGTAGTCTACCCTGAGGTGAGGAAAGGTCAGGACAGTTAAAGAAGAGTAACTAAAGTGCTGCACATCAACCTCAGATCTTGCCTGTAAGTAACTTTCCTGTGTAACACCAGTTTGCCCTAAAGCAACAACCAAAACAACAAACAGTGTCTTTATGTGGCTTGTCTGTTCTCATGTAGCAGGCCCCAAACCCCTCTCATTTTCAGTCTTCTGTTTCAATCATTAAACAGTACTACTACCCTTTAATCAAAATTCTTCTCCCACTGTTCTACCCTAAAAAGGGTAATTAATTATCTCGTAGCACTTGCTCTCAGTGCCTGATGCTACTGATGCAGAATCTACCTCATGCTTTGAAGTGCAATCATAATGCCATATTATGATCACTTAAAATAGCCAAAACCCCTGTTTTTTTCTAAGCCAGTGCTGCACAGTGACTCCATTAGCAGCAAGCACATGCTGGTGCTGCAAAGAAGAAAGCAGGTCTGGAAAATATCTCCCTTCAGCTTGCATTTAACTGTATATGTATATAACAATTCTCTTTGGAATAAGAATAGGCTCTTCACATATATTGAAGTGTTGTCCTGTCTTGGGGCTTAAGCAGGACTTTGAATGAGAAGTCATTTGGTTGCAGAATTCAGGAGTTTCTCCTTGCATGCTTTTCTATGTTTCATATGTATATGAAAGCAGATAATTGGGTCATAGGCTGTCACTGTCTTCTGTTCATAGGTTCAGAAGCTCAGGGTTGGAAATAAATCAGTCCTGAAAATGGTCCTATTAGTATCATCTTGCAAATCTTTATTCCCAAATGCTGCATGGAAATGCATAAGTTTTTACATTTTTTACCCAATTATCCTATGATTCCCCATTGAAGCCTGTAGAGGGTGTGCTCTCCATTTCAAATTAGGATTGAATGTCTTTCTGCAAAGCAGTAATCTAGCTCAAAATGAGGTTATAAATTAGCTCCAGATATGATTGTGTGGCATGTTACAGACTGAGATACATAGAAAGTGACAGGAAGAGTCCCTTTTGGAATTAAAAGTCTCTCAGATCTCATATTCGATCATTTTGTTCCTCTGTAGCTCAGCTATGAGCAAAGACGAAGCTGTTGGTCTCATTTAGGCTCCTGTTCTGAAGCCTCGGAACCACATTAAAATGAAATTTAGCAGAGACTGTACAGCTTTAATCTCGAGTCTTTTTATCAGGAATTAGATCCTCTGTTAGAAAAGCAAACTATTCTTGACCAAACCACTGCAAAGTCTACATCACTTACAATTTTATTGATGACAATGTATCAGGAGGTACTGCAGTTTATGAATTAGCTCACAGAGTATTAGAATTAGAATTACAGAATTACAGAATTTAGGGGTTGTAATGGACTTTACAGATGATCTAGTCCCAACACCTGCCATGGGCAGGGACACCTCCTCACTAGATCAGGTTGCAGTACTTAGAAGTCCCAAATTAGATTACAGCACCCAGGGGTCTCAGGAATACATAACTGGACACTGACTCTGCTTTGAACAGCTCATTAGCAACATAGGAAAGACAAAATACAGAATAAGGGAATATTCTTCCCCAGAATTAGCAGATGGGGAAGGCAATGATAGGAATTATGTTGCCCCAGTTACAACATGGAGACTGTGGCAGAGAAACTGAAGCTAGAACTCCTAGGTCTCACTCCAGGTATTTAGAAGCAAGCTCCAAAACTTCAGTTCTGAGGAACTGTGTCTCTGTTGAGCCTTTGCTCAGTCAGGCACAGCTGTATGACACGAGGGGGAGAGAGTGCCAGTCCTCTGCACCTGCCCAGCCCTTGCCCCCTAGGAGGGTAAAGGACTGATTTATCATGGGAGACCCAAGACACAGTAAATAGAAATTGGTTTCAGTTCCATGGAAATTATTCTTCTCTTTGTTCATTTTTAGGAACATGTTTCCAGCCAATCTTGTTGAGGCCACATTCAAGCAGGTAAGTGACTATATTATTTTTACTACTGATGAAAGAGAGGAGTCAGCATCATATGGAGCATGTGTCTTTGTGAAACGGAATCAAGATACAGACATGGCATATTACTTTCAGATACTGTTAGACCTTCAGCATTTCGAGATTAATGAGGCCCTTTCCATTAGCCTCATCAGCCTTGGTATCTGAAGGCAAAACAAAGAGGCAAGAAATCTTTTCTACCATGACAAGGACATGCACACGTGTCAGCTCCCCTTCCACCTGAGCAGAGATCTTTGAGGACCTTGAGAAAGGTGTTGTAGGGAAGCAATTTATGACAGTGCAGTCACAGAGTAGCTGGAACATCTATAAGAGCACCCAGTAACACCACGCAAAGGAAGAGGAGAATACCACATTCAATTAAAGCAACAAAATAATGTATTTGGGGAGAATTCAGACTGGAATTTGTCCAGAAAAATTCATCTAATAGTTCTGAGTGAGCAAGAGGCATGGCTGTATTTATGTCACCTGGGGGAATATTTCATGGGAATCTTAACCTCTGGTGAGACAAAGAAAAGGGCACTCAGAACCTCTATGGAGTCATTCCCAATTATGTCTTATAGGAAAGCAGCTCTATCAGGAGATGTTGTGTTTGCTGCACAAGGGCGTGATTAAAGGAAACTGATTTTGTTGTTTTCTTATGCTTTTCCAAAAATCAAACTGCTTTTATAGATTTTAGCAGCATAGAGACAGGAGTTGTCATTCTTTTCATGCCTGTCCCTTTAACATGTAGAAACAGAGCACTCCCAATTATGTCTTATAGGAAAGCAGCTCTATCAGGAGATGTTGTGTTTGCTGCACAAGGGCGTGATTAAAGGAAACTGATTTTGTTGTTTTCTTATGCTTTTCCAAAAATCAAACTGCTTTTATAGATTTTAGCAGCATAGAGACAGGAGTTGTCATTCTTTTCATGCCTGTCCCTTTAACATGTAGAAACAGAGCACTTAGGAGGTCTCACTATCTGTTC